TTGGAAAACTAAAAAAGTGGTTAAACATTTGATTTAAAGTCAATAATTAATTTAATCGCACATTTTATCGGATTCATAATTTTTATCAATTTTTTAACATCATATTTTATTCACTTCTATAAAATCTGTCAAAATTTATGTCCAAAAGCTTTGCTGAACAATCCCTATGACAGTGTGTGGGAAAACTTTTTTAAGAGTCCGTTTGATAGACAAATGTGGAAATGAATTTCAATTTCATGTTTGTTGGAAAATAAAAATTTACAAAACATATAGGAATTCGTTTTCCATGAAAATAAAGAAAATGCGGCTTAAAGTGGTTGTACTTTGAAATTCGATTTTCATTTTCACGTTGCAATCAAACGGTTAAAGTGGAATTCGTTTTCCTCGGATGTTATATTTTTCATGAAATTCGTTGCTATCAAATTGACCCTAAGAGTGCGTTTGATTGGCAAGTAGAAAGGTTTTCCAATTATATGTAAGTTGGAAAATAAAAAACTCAAGTATCCCACGTGAATACATTTTTCATGAAATTGGCAAAAAAAAAAGAGTTTAAAGTGATTGTATCTTAGAATTCGAACTTCATTTTCACTTTCATATCAAACAACTAAAGTAGAAATTGAATCTAAACCAATCAAACGGACCTTAAATCTTTTCTTTGAACATGTCTAGAAATTTCATTTGTCCTTTGAAAAAGTAACTCTTACCTTAATATTTTCAAATTTACATAAACAAATAAACTTGTTAAGCTTAGCCAAACATACAGTTACAAGTAGCCTACATACATTTGGACCTTTTAACTCTGCAGTCCTCTAGTTTAGATAAGATATTTAGCAGATGAACTGCCAGACCTCTGTAATGGCGAGGAATTCATCAGATTATGGAGCTTACACGGAAAAATTCACTCTGCAACCTCCTCCTTCATCTCATCAACTTCCGTTAACTGGACTCATCTTTGCTGTCAAAGATATGTCAGTCTCTTGGACAGCTTTTAATAATATGTGCTTTTTTATTTCAAAATAATTAACAATTTTCTCTCCAGATTTGATGTGGAGGGGTATGTTACTGGTTTTGGGAATCCGGATTGGGCGAG